TTTGGGGGGGGGGGGTTACTTGGGAGTAACAGGCTATATGGAAAATTTTTCCAAGAACCTACCAAATTTTAGTCCAACATTAGTTTCTTTTACCACCTCTATGAAAAATATAAAATCTCTCTACCTGCTTAATGCTGAAGAAAGTTCGACAGTCACTAAACGTGCTGAATAACTGGTGCACAGTTGGTTTATTATAAAAAATGAAACCGCTTCCTGCAGTGGTTGAATGTTATGGGTGTACAGTTTTTTACATGAAAGAGGAAGAGTTTCAAAGCCATGACCATGAAAGCACCTGACTGAACACAGGGAGACAATCATTAGTCCAGGTTGTTACCTTCTTCAGTGGCTGAGGGGAGAACCTGACTCTGGCCTGAAGGTAAATTAGAAATAATGGGAACCATCTTAGACTCATGGAGAATAACTCCAGCTGTCATTATTACTATACTACACATCCAAGGTGAGTTTTATAGTATTTAGATTTAAAACCTAGTACTAGACTGCTTATTACAAAAATAATTAAAATGTGTAACTAACACCAATGTTTTATGACAGCAGTAATCGGCACCAAAACCACAGTTTTTTCTGGTGTGGAAGGTGAGAGTTTTGTCTTCAGATGTGAATATCCAAATGGCCTGACGGAGAATTTGAAGTACCTGTGCCGTATTGATGAATGCTCCAGTTACTTGATAATGACAGACAAACATAACCGGTGGGAGACCAAAGGACGCTTCTCCATGTACGACAACACCACTGGAAGCTTCTTCATTGTCAAGGTGGATAAACTGAGGTTAAATGACAGTGGGACGTATCAGTGTGGAGTGGATATCAGCCTCCAACCTGATTATCACAGCGCCATAAAACTGAATGTTTCCCAAGGTATAGTATAAATATTTACACCACAGTTCTCAGTTGGCTGGCTAAATATGGTCTCCAGTTATGCATATTTCAACTACTCAGAGCAGACTGGTTTCTGGTTAGTGGGAATTGTCCCATAGGACAACCTCAACTGAGATGAAATAAGTAAGTTAGATAAGTTAACTAAGGTTAAAAAATAGAAGGTATATGTGCTGTCCAGCAAGGTGATGAATTCACAGGAATAAAATATTATAGCTCTTATGAATTCTGTTTGTGACCCCAAAAATAATAGGCCATAAATGACATTCATGAGAAATCAGTCATACTAATTCCATGTTCTGCTTTCATGAGGTTTCTGTTTCTGTAAAGATGTACAGTGGAGTCGAAAAGTTGGACTTACTTTTTATTTTAACTTTATCTTTTTAAAATATTTCTATGTAAATGTGAAAATATCTTGAAAAGCTTTAAAGTACACACTTATAAATTAATTTTGTATAATTAACTGACCAAAAGCAAATTTGTGTTATTGATTGTGTTATTGCTTTGTTACAAAAGGTCAGATTCAGTCATCTCCTTTTCATGTAAACAACATTCAAGCAATATTCAAATGTATTTAAGGACATTTTTTCCCCCGTTTAAGCATTAGTGTAGTTTAACGTTCATAGTTTCATAAGTGAAACTCAGAACATAAGGGACTTTCTCGTCAATTGACTGGAGGTTTCTTCTGAGGAAGTAAACAAGACTAAATCATTTGGGTAACATACCAGTATTTCACAGACATGATCGGAAAGGAAGCCATGTCTGCTGCTGAAAGTTTGAGACTTCTGGCCTGAACAGCCAAAATAAATGGAAGCGTTTATGAAGATAAAAAAGGAAAAGAGCGATGCAGCAGCATATCAGACCAACAGCGAAACAGGGTGGTTAGAGGCTATTTTGGGCTTGAACACGTGCACAGAATCAATTTCACTCTTAGCAAGGAGAAGTGGTACTTCAGTCTCATGAAAACTTTTCCACACAGTAGTTTACATGCTTGCAAAGAAAAAGTCACGCTGCAGTAACATATTTAGCAATTTGAAAAAGAAAAGCATTTTTAAAAATTGAATAAGAATTCAATTAGAATTTTCAATGCATTTTCCAAGGGTTGGAGGGCCAGAGACTAAATCCCAGCCACTATAGGGTGGCCTTAAGTACACCCTGAACAGACTGCCAATTGTATGCAGGGCTAACACATAGAGAGAGACAACCACTCACACTATGGGGCAATTTAAAATCACAAATTAACCAAACCTCATTAGTTGCATGTCTTTGGACTGTGGGAGGAAGTCGGGGTACCTCTGTGCATACTTTCATTTTATTTGCTCATTTATAAATTCCTCTTTTTGTATTTTCATTTTCCTGTAAAAGTAATACCAGCCAATAGTGAAAACACAATAGAGAGTAAGTGATGTGTTTGATGTGTTTGTGTGCGCGTGTATTTTCATCTGTTTTATTAGCACTGAGATTTGTATTTGTGTAAATGTTCCAGCATATGAACCTCAGCTGTTATTCCACCTGCCGCTGGTCCTGACTGCTGTTATGTGCGTGGCAGCACTCATGTTTGTGTGTCTGTTCACATTATGTCTTCTACTGGTTCTGAAACACAGAAGATCAATCCCACCACAGAATAAAGAGGTTTGTCCACCACAGACACTTTTAGATATGCTAGCAGTATAAGCAACAGCAAAGTGGTTCAACACTGTACATTTGAAGTTTCTCATTATTAGTCAGTAACATTTATGAAATGTGAAACATTCATGAAACCTAAAGTTATATCGCAATAACTGGTCAAAATGTGAAGAGGATGTCAGTGATGAGTCATAAAGGTAGAACATAACATGTCATAAGCTTACTCTGAAAAACACACCTTCAGAAAGGAAATAATAGTAAAATCACTGCATGGAGTTGACAGGCTCTAAAAATACCTTTACCTGGCAAATGTTTTCTGATAACTATTTTCCTAAAGCTAATGTAAGCTGTGTGTTAGCAGAGATACCTACAAAAACAATAACATTGCTGACAAGTTCTCTGCTGTAATAACACAAATAAAAACACTTTGACCAACATAGCAAAAAGTATACAGTAATCTAAAGTTCACTTATCCCCTTAACATCTAGTTTGATACATACAGTTGAGACTTATACAGCATCAGTCTGATTTGAAGATGAATAAATACATTTTAGCAATAAACTGCAATATAAGACAAATTAAAACTCATATATGCATTTGTTTTACATTGGATTGAATTATTTCATGGTTCAGGCTTTAAAGTCTTATCATGTTTATCTTATGAGTAGCAAAATGATTCCCACAAACAGTGTGAGTGAGTGTCACACATGCATTGTGTCTTAATGCTCATGCCCACTTCTCTGGCCTGATAAAAGGTCTGGATTTTTAGTTTGGAAGCTTTAAAAGTTTCGTTTTTTGTTACAATATGTCCCACCATCTCCACTACTTCTTTGGACATGTTTTCAGATTAGTGGTAGCCGAAGGAATTGACATGGAGGTATGTTCACAAAATACACTGGAGAATGATATGCTTGTTAGCCCTGTAGTGTAGTTGAAATCTGTGTGTAATTACTCGTGTGATGACTTCTTTAATTTTCCAAGTCTCTGCTTTGATTAAAAACTGGTAGTTTTTGAAGATGTATTTATTTCCAATGAACCCTTCCTCTAAGGCAGAGGTTCTCAAACTGTGGGCTGTGCCCCCACTGGGGCATAAACAGAAGTGGTGACTTTCCATAGAGTATAAAACCATTTTGATGCTTGTTCATTAAAAACTTTTTTTTACCACTTATCTATTTTATTTTTCAATAATGTATTTAAAATAAATTAATTAATTGAAAAGGACCAGAGTTGAGGATGAGGTTGATGACCAACAAACTGACTATCGTCCTCACTTTTCCCTTACAAAACATGTGGGAGAATCTTTGGCAGCTGTCACTTGAATGTAATGTGTGGTTTGTCTGCTCTGGCCTACTGAATCTTTTTTTAAAGAAGGCTCTGTAGAAAAGGCTCATCCTAAGCTAACAAAAATACAATCATAAATAGTTACTGGTGATGAATCAAAATCTATATACTCCATGTATGCCTATAGATACACAATAGTGTTGTAATGTGTAATTTGACTGCAGAAAATGCCACATTGTTTACTCAGCACAAAGAAAACATGATCTCACTCTAAGTGTTCTTCTGGTATCTTGCAGATAACGTCTGACTATGAGACTATGATGCCAGGTCTAAAAGCTGAGCCTCAATGTTGCTGCAGCTGTTCGGCCCCAAACTGCAGTGATCCTTCATCTTTACCATTACCACCACCACCTGACCTCTGCTCTAGCTTCCCAAAGCATCGGGAGTCTGCTCTCTCATTCGGCGTTGGTGAATATGTTGATGTGGATGTACTAGGAAATATCTGCCAGTACCAACATCTGGATCTCAGCCAGTTAGAAGAGCATGTCTATCACAGTCTTCATGTACATAGTTGTCCTAAACATGAACCTATTAAAGAGGAGATGAACTGTTTAAATGTCAAAAGATAATTCTGGGCTAATCACACCTTAAGTCTTAGTAGTGTGGTTTCAATCAGCCTCTCACAAAAAAGTACTAGTGATATAGAGTAGCTTGGTAAATCTGTTATTAATAATTCAACTAATGAAATGAAATGACCAATCCTGATCCAGATCCTGATTTAATATATTAGTTTTATCCTTTTACAGTGTTTGAATGACAGAAAGAGCTGAGTAACTCAAAACTTTTGGATCTTTATGCAATTTCTTTAAGTGTATATTTTTGTTTTGTTTAAATGGCAAAAAGAAAAAAGAAAAACAAAAAAATCTGAGTGGATGGTTTAAGCAGTGTCACTGTGCTCTACAATTTTTATAATATTTACCAAAATAAACAAACAGGTTTATATCTGAAGTTTTTCTTGTAGTTATTATTTACTGACCTGTTACCTCTTGATTACTCATTGTGAGAAAAGCGCATGGGAGGGACATGCTGATGGTCATGGTTTTTGGGGAGAGAATCAGACAGAGGAAACTGATGAAAGACAGGAAGTGAAAGGAAAAAGAGGAACCCGTGAAGAAAAGCAGACTTGGTATTCATTTAGAAAGACTCGCAAGGGCAAAGAATCAGGGTGAGTAAAGCCCAAGGACGGTAACAAAAAGAAACCTTACGTGAAGCATGGAGATGACTGTGATCTTTGTGATATTTCTTTTGGAAGGTAAGTTTACTGTCCTCTTTTAACTGATCATTTTACAAAAACCTTTGCACATTTCATGGGAAATGCCTCATTTGCGTATTTAAACACAAATTTTGCGTAACAAAAATAATTATCAAAGTAGGATTGAGCGATAGTGAGAAACATCATCAAGAAATTCAAAGAGAGTCAAGCAGTACAGAATAATCCTGGCAGACACAAGAAAAGAAATCTTTCAAAGACTTCAAAAAGAAAAGAGATGTGGCTAAAGACCTGAAAACAACTGCCAAGAAATTAGTGAATAACTAAGTTGGGAACTGTAGTTTCAAAGAAGACAATCACTGCGAGGTTGCAGAACAAGAAATATCTTGATGCATGCTCAATCATCCAGGTAAGTAAATCCCCAAGAGTTGATTCTGTTCCTCTGGACGTAGTGTTTTCAATGGGAGAAACATTTGACTTCTTCAGTCTCAGTTGACTGCAGGTTTCCCCAATCTTATAAACAGTACATTTGCATTATGACTGAAACTAACACTACTGAAGGAACAATGGGCTGGGAGGTCAGTTCTTTGATGATCTCGGGATGATCTGGCTCTAGAGTTGGCAGTTTGTCTTCTAATCAGAAGGTCGCCGGTTCGAGCCCTGGCTCCAAAAGTCTCAGTTGTTGTGTCCTTGGGCAAGACACTTCACCCGTTGCCTACTGGTGGTAGTCAGAGGGCCCGGTGGCGCCAGTGTCCGGCAGCCTCGCCTCTGTCAGTGCGCCCCAGGGCAGCTGTGGCTACAATGTAGCTTGCCATCACCAGTGTGAATGACTGAATGTAGTGTAAAGTGCTTTGTGGCCCTTAGGGATTAAGTAAAGTGCTATACAAATACAGACCATTTATCATTTTACCATTTAATATGGAAATTCTCATGACCATTGATCAAAGATGACTGATCAAAGCTCATTGGTCAAAGGCCACTAATCAAAGACCCTCTCTCTGAATGAGTACCATTCAGAGAGAGTTGGGGAATGGCTACAATCACAGCATTGCAAGATGGCGAAAGATGTACCCTTTGCTATCCTACCCTGGAACACCATGAAGTCATTGGTTCACGTATGTGGATGACACCTGGGTGAAAATCAAATCTCAGGATGTTCCACAATTCACGGATCACATTAACTTGGTGGACCAACACATCAAATTGACCAGGGAGGACATGAAAAGTAGCAGGTTAGCCTTCTTAGACTGTGAGATTTCCATCACTAACGGGGGATATCTAAAAGCTGATGTGTACTGTAAACCTATGCACAAGGAATAGTATTTAAGATTTGACTCTCATCATCCACTGGAGCATAAACTGGGTGTCATCAGGACGCTACAACATAGAGCGAATACCACAGCGGCCAGGGAAGCAGAATCACATCAAGAAGGCCCTGAGTAAATGTGGTTATCCCAGCTGGACATTTGTAAAAGCTGAGAAGGCACCTAAAGAAAGTCGATCCAAGAGAGAAGGACAACAGCTGAGATGCATTTTTTCTAAACACCGTGTCTCTGTGGCTTTTAAACCTTTTAAACCCAAAACACGCTTCACCAAAAATTGGAGAAACAGAGTAAAATAGTGTACGCTGTCAAGTGCCAGGAGTATTCCCAGGATTTATACATTGGGGAAACCAAACAACCTCTGGTGAAGCGGATGGCACAACACAGAATAGCTACCTTGTCAGGCCAGGACTCTGCAGTCTATTTACACCTACAGGCCAGTGGACACTCTTTCAAGGATGAGGATGTACACATCCTGGACAGGGTGGAACGCTGATTTGAGTGCAAAGTCAAGGAGGCCATTTACGTGAAAAGGGTAAGACCATCTCTGAATCGAGGAGGTGGCCTAAGGGTGCATCTTTCACCATCTTACAATGCTGTGATTGCAGCCATTCCCCAACTCTCTGTGAATGGTCCTCATGGCCTTTGATCAGTGGGCTTTGATCAATGGTCATGAGAATTTGCATATTAATGATCAAGGAACTGACCTCCCAGCCCTTTGTTCATTCAGTGGACTAGTTTCAGTCATTATGCAAATGTACTGTTTAAAAGATTGGGGAAACCTGCAGTCAGACTGAAGAAGTTACTTTGTTTAGTGATGAAACTTTTCGCCCACTGAAAATGTTACATCCAGATGAATCAACTTTTTGGGAGAAAAAGAAATACTAAAATTCTGCAAAAGACACATCTTCAAGACAGACTGGAGTATGCTACGGATAACCTGGAAAACCATTATGCATACTGTAAGTGTGTCCTTTGGTCAGATGAGACAAAACTGGAGTTCTTTGGCCACAGACGTGCTGCTTATGTTTGGCGGAAAATGGGAGAGGCATACAATCCAAAGCCATCCTCACAGTGAGTATTATGCTGTGGGGATGCTCAGTGTCTCTTAAATTGGGAATTTCATCAAGGTGGAATAAATCATGAGGAAAGAAGGAAGATTTGAAGATTGTTAAATAAAACCTTAAGCAGTCAGCATTAAAACTGGGTATTGGCTGTTGATTTGTGTTCAAACACATCAACAGCCAAAAATAATCATATGTCACTTCTGCTGAAGAACTTCCTCCAGAAGATTAAATTGAAGGTTGTTGACTAGCCTGCACAAAGACCTGACTTGAATCACATTGAAAGGCTGGGGGGTGACCAAAGTCCATAAGAAATATTAAATCTGGAGGAATTTGAGAGATTTCCCAAAGAAAAATAGCTGGAATTGCTCAACATAAGACTTATTGAAAACTACAAAAAAAAGACTGCAGGCCTTTATCCAGCAAATAAACAACTGACTATTCACATCCATCCATCCATCCATCCATCAATTCGCTTCCGCTTATCCTTTTCGAGGTCGCGGGGGGTGCTGGAGCCAATCCCAGCTGTCATAGGGCGAGAGGCGGGGTACACCCTGGACAGGTCGCCAGTCTGTCG